GGGAGGAGGGCGAGGAGAAGGAGGAGGAGGAGGAGGAGGAGGAGAAGGAGGAACGCGGGGACCGTCTCTTCAAAACGAGGACCCAACACCACAGGATGGTTGGGAAAAAAAAAATCAAATTATACACATTTACATACATGTACATATAAAAAAAAGACCCATTCGTGTATGTACACAGACTTATGCATATAAACACACATATACATTGACACGTACATATGCATCGACATAAACAAATACAAAAACACACATACAGATACCGGTTACGAATACAGATACATACATGTACATATACATATGCGAATAATCGACGCAGCAAAATCATACATGAGTTGTACTAATCCCGAAGTGGGCGATAAACCCCAGTGGGGTGCTCCGAATGTTCGCCGTCAGGAGAACCTATGTGGCGCAATTCACCCTACCGAACATGAAATTGTCAACTCCGCCGCCCGCGCGATCATACCACCCGCCCACCCACAGCTTGGCTTGCAAAAGACATGCGGCGGCGAGTGCGATGAGTGATCGACGCTGGCTGGCGCATCGCCTCGGCCGCGTTGGCGCGCATGCTCGCGCGCAAAGCGGCCAGCTAGCTCGGCGCGACCGACGCGCCCGCGGTGGCGCTGAACGCTGGGCACTTCTCACCGGGCACTTGAATGCGAATCGGCAACTTGGGCGGGCGCGGTATCATTGCGACGTCGGCAACGGTACACACGATGATGGTAGTAGTGACGCTGGCGGCGATGATACCCACGCCGACGGCACGGCCAGCGACGGCGCCGATGCTGATCACGCCGACAGTGACGACGGCGTCCTCGCGTCGGCGATGAAGGTTTTGGAAAGAATTCGACATGCGCGCGCGGCCGACGCACGAAATCGGCACGCATGGCATCATTTGGCACGGATCGCGCACCCCACCCAGCAAGCGCGCAAGGGAGATCGAATGAGTTCGACATTCGGCGCGAGAGGCCCGTCTGGCAAAATGCCATGATAATGTTGGATACCTGTGGCTTGTTGTTTCCGAAGATTTCGCAGGAGCGCAAGCGCAGGCATTTTGCAAAGCTGGCGTTGCCAAGCCATGTGTTTATATGCTGCTCGGGACACTCGATTTTGAAATCCCTGCGAAACGTCACGTTTTGAAGGATCCCCGCATGCGCGCGTACTGACGCGCGCGCGTGCACTTCGTCCTGCCTGTTGCAAGAAATTCTTGCGATGACACGCGCGCAAAGGCGTTCGAGCGATGCCGAGATGCGCGCTAGAGGTACTCTTGATATCATGTGATGAAAGTTTTGACAAACCGATGGTTGTCTTGAGAATCTGTAAGAGCGCGAGCGCAAGCTTGTTTGGGGGAGTTATGGTTACAACACCATATGCTGTTAGATGTGTTCGGGGCACGCGATTTTAAAACCCTCAACCCGCGCATTTACCCCCACCCACCCATCCGCAACTTGGTTTTCAAAACCCATGCTGCGGCGATTGCGATGACTGCTTGGAGCTGGCTGGCGCATCGCTGCGACCGCGCTGGCGCGCGCAGGCTCGCGACCTGAACGGTCAGCTAGTCTGGCGCGACCGACGCGGCCGCGGGGGCGCTGACTGGGGTCTTCCCGGTCAGTCTCGCAGGCCGCGCTGGCGCGCAGGCACTTCAATGAGAGCCGGTGACTCGGGCAAACGCGGTATCATGGCGACGTCGACAACGGCAGACACGATGTAGCGATGCTGGTGACGATGATGACGATGACGACGGCAAGGCCAATTACGGCGCCGACGCTGATCACGCCGATGACGATGGTGGTGTCCCCTTGTTTCTGGCGAGCGTGTTGGAAGGATGTCTACATTCGCGCGCGGTCGACGGGCGCGAGTGGCCCGCACGGTGTTGTTTCACTGGGATAGTGCCCCCTCCCAACCCTCTTCCCGCAAGCGCGCAAGAGCGATCGAATGAGTCCGACATGCGCGCGCAAGAGGCCCGGTCGGTCGCATTGGATGAGAAGGTTGAAGACCAATGATTATCCTGAGAATTCGCACGAGCGCGCGCGAGCAAACTTGCTCTAAACCACCATGTTGCAAAACCGTTGTTTTAGATGTTTTCGGGAACCACGGGCTTGAAATTCTTACGAAACCCGTGGTCCCTCCCTCCCTTCCTCCCTTCCTTCCTCCCTCCCTCCCTCGCGGATTGTCTTCCCGACCTCCCGACGCCCGACTACAACGGGAAGGGACCAACCCGCGTCTCTCCCTCCTCCTCCTCGTCCTCGTCCTCGTCCTCGTCCTCCTCCTCCTCCTCCTCCTACTCCTCCTCCTGGGTCAGGGGTGCGCCTCAAGCAGGCCGAGGGTGTCTAAGCACACCAAGGCCCCGCATAAATACGACCTCGCAGAGACACCTCACGTTCATAGACCTTGCCGCCGCCGCCGCTGCTAACACGTCCCCCAGGCGTCGTTACCTTGACCTGAACAGTGGACCTGGGACAGAAGAACATCCTTCAAGAACATAAGATCCTCCGCCGACCAAAACACACAGAACATCCAAGGGTACCCTCCCCAAGATGCCAAAGGACACCCAGCAAACATGGAGAACATTAGGGTACCCTCTACGAAACGACCTCAATCATATACCTCGGTCCGACAGTACATCCCCCTCCTCCTCCTCCTCCACCTCCTCCTGCTCCTCCTCCTCCTCCCATCAGCCCCCTCGTTTGCATCAGAAAAACGATTCCAAACCTGCCCACCAGGGGCACAGTCTCGCCCGATCCGCCTATAATGGTCGCTATGTTAGAGACTCCCTGATGGCCTTGACGGCAGCTTGGCAAGGCGAATTGCGCTGGAGCTTGAGGCCTTCGTCTGGATGGATCGAACTCTGACTACAGCCAGCCCGTATAATAGGGACGCACGAGAAGGATGCAAGGGCCTTGGAAGACCATGAAAGTCGCCCATTCTTACTACAGTCGGGGCGTTGACCGAAGGAACCCTAAATAAGGAACGAGGCCCCTTTTTCCTATCAGTTAAAGTTCGACTTTCCATCGAAAACATAAGGAAAACCTGAGGCAAGCAGTGAAACACTTCATGAACGCGGAGCCTCTCCCCAACCAAAAGCGTTCCTTCTTCAGGGCCCCGACTGTATGCGGGTCGACAGTACGGGCCGAATACCGAATGGGCGATGTCGATGCCCTCAACGTCAGCTGGACAGGCATGCTGACTCGAATCACCAGCGTCCGCCACGACAACTGCAATGCCAGAGAGAGGCTTTCAGACAACGGCTCGGCAGCATCAGTTGGGTATGGTGAGGACAAGGCTGCGCAAGGTTCTTCGGCAAAACGAGTCTGACCAGGCATAATACGGACAACCTGAGGTAAGGGAGCACGCCCCAATACTCCACCAGCCATGCGGCGCGGAAGCGTCACAGGGGAGGGACCGGCTCGACCCAAATGGCGCAAGCCTTGTCTCGCGGGAGAGCGAAAGACCTGGCGAATGAGACATGCACGCTTGATTCGGGGATGGACAGACCCCCCTTTAGCAAAACGTGGTTTAGTGAAAACGACCTGAGGCCTAAACCTGGCGGGCGCAAGCCTGAAGATGACGGCAGCGGCGCCCTCTTGAGACCCGAAAACGGACAAATCACTAATCGACGTGTCACTGTTGGGGGTTCTGTCCACCCCCGATTGATGATGGTTCATTCGCCCCTGCATCCGGCTCTTCGGTCACCACTGAACTGACGGCCGAGCTGCTGCACGCTCCGCGGAGACCGTGGCGTGGTCTGCGGAAGCCAGCCTGCAACCCCCAGGGAGAGCGCGCACTCTGGCAGAGGTGTCGCTGCCCAAGAACGGCGCACAGTGGGCAGCAAGATGCAGAGCCTCACCCCCGCTGACCTCGCCCTGCCTGGACAGGTACCTGAAGCGCGCAACGGACGGAACCCCCTTCCTAGGGAGACGTGTCCCCGATCCGGCTGCAGCCAGGGAACCAGGTGCGAGAACACATGTGCTGAGGAAGCGATTCAGTTCAGGAGGGAAAGAAACACACAGACACAATTAATCGTCGATGGTCAAGAAAAGATGCGAAACTATGGGAAGTGGGGGAGGGGGAAGACAGAAGCCCAGAAAATATGTGTAAATATGAATAAAAGTGTGATTTGTGTGTGTGTGTGTGTGTATTCATTTGTGTGTCCTGGGGCTCCTTCATCAGTGGCATGTCCCTCAAAGCGTCGGGCCCCCCTCACCCGAAGCCTACTACGGCTGGGGAAACAAAGACCTGTTCGCCCGCTCTGTAAGGGGAGCCATGCTGTGAGAAATGAGATGGGGACCAGAATCGTCGCCAGGATTCCGCCGCGAAGACCACGTCTGACATAGACATCCGAAGCACTGGGCTCTGGCGACACCTCGACATGACGGTTCGGCTGCGCGCCCGGGGGGAAGCGAGAGGGAGCAAGAGCCTTCTCGGGAGGCGGCGGGACTTCTCTCGGAGGCCCTCGCGCCCCCTGGCAGGTGCTCTGCGGCTTTTTGGGGGAAGGCTCAGAAAACCCTTCGGAGACCATGAGCCTTCCGAGCCGTTTGAGAAGGCCCGCCCCCTTCTCCCCTGACCTTCCAGGAGGGCTAAAAAATAGCACGCGACTTAAACACCTATCCCAGAGCTATTATGTGTCTTGGTCTTCGGCTGTTTCGTCTCGTTGTTTCGGTTTTGGGGCCTCCCGTGCTAAAAGATAGCTCTCTGGAAGGTCAGAGGGGGTGATCCACATGGGGAGAGAGAAGCCCTGAATGGGGCCCTTCAGGGCCCCTGTTGGGCACCAACCGGCTCCAGAAGAGGCCCTTTCTTCACCCGCCACTTGGGCCACCTCCCACTGATGGACCCGCTGTCCACCACCACCGCCACCAGTTGGAGGGGGGAGGGAGGTGGAGGACGAGGAGGCAGAGGAGGCAGAGGAGGAGGAGGAGGAGGAGGAGGAGGAGGAGGAGGAAGAGGAGGAGAAGCAGGAGGAGCGAGCGTCGGCTGAGCGCCGAAGGAGGCCGATGCCCAGCCGCCTGCAGGAAGGCCTGCACCTCCGCCTCGGTGCGCCTCCTCTCCCTCCCCAGGGAGCTCAGCGCGCTCAGCCAGCCCGAGAACGACGAGCCCGTGCCCCGCGTCTCGCCTCGGAGGGAGGCCGAGAGGCAACCGGGAGGGAGAGCAGGGAGAGGAGCGAGGCGAGACGGGAGCAGGAGGACGAGGAGGAGGACGAGGAGCACGAGGGCGAGGACGAGGAGGAGGAGGAGGACCAGAAGGAAGCGAGGAGGGCGACGAGGACGACGAGGAGCAGCAGGCGAGGCGGGGGGAGGAGGACCAGGAGGGGGAGGACCAGAACCGGGGCGGCGAGATCTGCACGCATCCACTGCTCCCTGGCCAGGCCCGTGCTGGACCCGGCGGCGGTGTCTGGGCCACGCCCTCCTGGCGCTCCCAGAGCCCGGTAGGGATTCGCCAGGGGGCAGCAGGTCGTCGCCCGAGCAGTGTCTCTGATGTGCGTCAGCGATGCTGCAACACACCCGCCCGTCCCCAGCCCCCTCCCCCCCTGACCTTCCAGGAGGGCTAAAAACAGCACGCGACTTAAAACCCTATCCCAGCGCTATTCTGTGTCTTGGTCTTCGGCTGTTTCGCTTCTTTTTTTGGGTTTTTGGGCCTCCCGTGCTAAAAGATAGCTCTCTAGAAGGTCAGGGCCGAAGGCCCCAACACAGCTAGCCGCTTTCACACCGCGCAGGGGGGCCACCGCCCTTCCCTGGGAGACGAGCGCTCTACGGGCGGGCCGCGCAGGCAGGAGGTCCGTGTTCGGGGGGCACCGCCGCACTGCAACCGGGACGCCGGAAAGAGTTGTGCTTTGATGAACTCTGCGTCGGTCCTAAATAGAGAGGGGCCCCAGGACACACAAATAAATACACACAAATAAAACTATTCCCCATATTTTCCCATATTTTCTGGACTTATGTCTTCCCCCCCACTTCCCATATATTTCCATATGTTTTGGGGAATCGCCGATTAATTGTGTCTGTGTGTTTCTGTCCCTCCTGACAGAAAGCCAGAAAGAGTTGTGCTTTGAGGAGTTCTGTGTCGGTCCTCAAGAAAGAGGGGGCAGCCCGGTCACCGTGGACGGCGGCAGGGGGACCGTCGCATCGTTGATGATTCTCGGTCTTGGTGGTGGTAGTCATATACTGTGCTCGGAGTTTGCCCAGATGTCCATCTGCACGGCTGGGGCTCGATGGCGTGAAGCACAGCGTGCTTGAGGGCCCCCCTGTTCCATGCCGGGGCAGCACATAGAAAATGCAGTCGGACGCACATCCTTCGCCGCCGACTCTGACGCGGGCCCCTGCGCCCGAAACTGATGTCACAACCTTCTATGGGTTTGCGAAACAACTCCTCGTGAAACGAAGCCCCTCTCCTCATGCTGAGGCCGCTCCTTAATTCTCCGCCACCCCCGCCCAGGACGCGCCTCCGTTGGACCGGGCAGCTACCAGCGGGGGGCGACGCTGGAGGGCCCAGAGGCTCCCGAGAGGCCCCCGGCAAGCTCTTTGGACGCCCGAAATTCGGGGGTTGCTAAAGGTGCCCCTGGCTCAAGGTGCCCCCAGTTTTTCTCTCAACCTTGGAGCCCATGGGGCCCTCTGGGCCTCGTGAGGGGTGCGCTGGAGGCCTTGGGGGCCTCCTTGGGAATCCTGGGGGCACCTTGGGCCAGGGTCACTTCTAGCAACACCCGAGAAATGGGTACGGGAAAAATGCCCGCAGTGCCCAACGACAACAGCGGCCGCTGTTGGGCAGGCGGCCTTCTGTCTCAAACGGACACCGTCCGCGGCGGCACCGACAGCGAGTCCTGGCAAATATGAGCAGGAACTGCTGTCGGTCTTTGTGCAATCGGACCTAGGCCAGAAGAGCATCCCTCAAGAACGTGAGACCCTCCGCGGGTCCGATCACGAACACACAGAGAACAAGACACAAAACACGCCGCCAGAGAGCACCCTACAGACACGAGGAACACTGGGGCACCCTCCTCGAACCGACCTCGACCGTGCCCGACTGTACCCAATCTTGCCGTACCCACTTCGACCGTCCCGACGCGCCCCAGGGTCGGGGATCTTCTAACCCGGGTCAATACAGACCCGGGTCAGCAGGAAACCAAAAACTGCAATGCAGGGGACAAAAACTGCACCGCAGGCCTTCGCAAGCCCGGGTCAACCAACATGCGCGGCCGCCTCGCGGCCACGAGCGGCTTGCCAACCCGGGTCCGCCAGAGGGGCTCTTCGCAGGATCCTTCAGGATCTGGTGCCCTGGCTGACCCCCGTTTGCATTGACCGTCTCAAGGCTCCCGACAGGGGGGGACCGAATGCAAGGGCTCCTAAGTTCGCGCTTCGCGCTGCGCGAAGCGCGAATAACTTCGCGCTCTCGCGCCGCCCCCCAAGGGGGAGAAGAGGAGGACGAGGAGGAGGAGGAGAAGGAACGAGGACCGCGAAGCGCGAAGCGCGAATAACTTCGCGCCCTCGAGGGAGCCCTTGCTGGCTCCCGGGAGGCCTGGGCCGTACAACTCCCGGGCCGTCCGACGTCGCACTCTGCGCCCCGCTCGGCGCGGCGCGCGGTGGCCGCTCGCGCCCGCGCGCCGCCGCCCTGGAGAAGGGCGCGCCTCCCTGGGGCCTCCCGCGGCGAGCGAGGGGGGGGGAGAGAGGAAGAGAAGGCCCTGCGGCGGGGCCTCTCATAGGGGAACAATATGTTTGATTCGCGGGTCGAGAGCGCACCTCTTCCGGTCGACGCTGAGGGCGGTCCGCGCGAAGCTTGAATTAGCATTGAGGGGGGGGGGAAGGGCTTCATACGGGAACAAAGAGTGGCATAAACATAAGAACTCGGAGGTCCGTGCGGATTTCGCGGATCGGGGCTGGGCCCACCCTTGGCGGCGCCTCCGGCGCCGCCCCTGGCGCGCTCCGCGCGCCAGGTAGGGGGGTCCAGCGCGGATCCGAGAAATCCGCGCGGACCTCCGAGTTCTTATGTTTATGTCATTCTTCGTTCCTCTATTTCAGAAGCCCGCGGGCCTTCCGATAAGGTCTCTGCGTCTCCGGGAAAGGCCGAGAAACTTCGGGGGACGTCCGAGCCTTCTGGAGAGGCCCGCTCCTTCTCACTTCCCCCCCAGGCCTGCCGCCGAAAGGGAAAGTACCCCGCGACGAATGAAGCCAATGCCACCTCACCTGGCGGCCAAGCGAGTCAACTTCGTATGGGAACGGGGCCCGTCACAAATCCATGCTGCCTTCATCCATGGTTGCTTTTCATCGGCTCCAGCCCGAGCCTTCTGTTGCATCATCGGGGGGCCTTGTCTGTCCCGTCGCGCCCCTATCCGCATCGAATCCGTATTGGATCCGTGCCAGACTCGTCGCATCCGCGTCGAATCCACGTCGAAACCGTGTCGAATGCACGCCCAATCCACGCCGAGACCGCATCGACGCGTCTCGCACAAGAGAAGACACTCATTCTGGAGACAGACGAGGCCCGAAGATGCAACGTAACGAGCCGCGATGCGCGAAGCGCAATTCTCACCTCGCACCGAGTCAGCTCTGTCACGAAGGCTGGGGGCGCAAGGGAAACCTGCCACCGGCGACGTGAAAGTGTCGTCCCGGACAGTCTGCTCGACGCTTCCAATCCCTGCCGACGGCTTTCCCGCCCCCAGAGATCCGATGCTCCGAAAAAATTGGAGCGGCCAGTTATTGCTCCGTTCGACCTCGGGGGGCCCTCCGCGTGTCCAGGGGCCGTCAAAAAACGACTCGGGACGAAAAGCCGGCCCTACGGAGGTCGTCCAGACTTCCGAGGGTCCACGCATCAAAAAATTAGACCGCCGGATGTCTGGGCCGATTCCTCCTTCTGTGCCAGCTGGTGCGGCGCGACTTTTTGCTTAGCCCCGCGCTATGGTCAGACGGGACGACAGTGTCTTGCCCGAGTCTACCGCCCACGCCTAAACGACCCGCCCAGGGAAGCCGACCCATTTGAATATGATGCTGGTCAGGCTCGAGAGGGCCGCTAGGATTGTAAGCTCAGAGCACATACGGCCCACGGGATCGTCCGACCTCGTGTTTTCGCTGTTCGAGATGGAGATGGACTCAATGACCTCTCATATTGAAAACCGCCACAGCAATGCTGCTGCCCGCAGCAAGCATCGGAGGAGCTCCTGGCCAGCAACAAAAACGCCCAAAGGAGGAGGAGGAAGAGAGGACGAGGAGGAGAACAACGCAAGAGGGCGGCGCTGACCTTTTGGTCACGCGAGGCCGCCGCGGCAAGGGCAGAACAAACAGGTGCACTGTCTTGACTCCGGACTGGCACCAATACAGGCTGCAACCGTTTGGCTCGCAGCCCAGACTTGGGCATACCGGCCGGTCCCGGGTGGCAGGCAGAGGCCCCGGAGGAGGAGGAGGAGGAAGGGGGGCGAGCACAGAAGCGAGGGGAGGAAGACTGAAACTGGCGGTATGTGCGCGCGTCCCAACATGGCCCTACCGACCATGCATTTCAAAAGGAGGCATCTCACAACGACATGCGTAAGGACTAGCGTCAGGACAGCGCTCAGTACCAAGAGCAAGTTGCAGCCCAAGAGGCCGCACGGCTGCTAGCAAGGATGTCCAAATCACCATCGCATGGGAGGAGGACGCAAGAAGGGGAAGGGTGGAGAAGGACAGGAAGAACAAGAAGAAGCGGCAAGTAAAAAGTTGCCGAAGTTTTTGAGCCACTGAGTGCCAGAACACTTGTGGACTGTTCAAACAATCCTTCATTAGACGAATGACTACTCGAGCAGCTACGGAAAGATCCGGAACACTCTGGAGCAGGCACATTCGATGTTCAGTTGTGGACCAGACATCCCTCATCATGGACATGATGCGCACTCAAAACACATGTGGAATGCTCCCCGTGGGCACGTCTCAGGGTCCACCACCTGGAGCCGCGCAGAATGCGCCAAAGGTATATCGGAGCGACCAACCCTCGGCAAAGTTAGCTTCAAAAGCTGGCGACAGCATCTGCCTATGCATGGAGCGCGTGGGGATCGATGGCATCAAGCGCGGCGTGCCTCATGGTATCAGTGCTCGGCAGCACGAGACGTCTCAGCCGGCCCCAATCAGAACGCGCTGCAGCTTGCTTCGGCCATGGCGGGGCAGCACTGAGCAGAGCTCTCCCGGAGTGAAGAGCACCCACTTCGAGCAAGAGCCAAGCGAGAGCCCCCTCTTGAGAAGGAGGCGCCTGCCGCCCGCACCGCTGTTGCAATGCTCGGCGTCGGGAGCTCGAGAGTAAGCGACCGGGTCATCGGCGGTGGGGACGCCTCCAACGAAACGCCCGGCCCGCCCTACTGGCACGCCTGGTGGCGCGTCGACGATCCCTTGTAGATGGCAAGCCGTGGCCCTCGGCCCGAGATGGCCTACGGTTGGGGGGCGGTGGCTGGGCGCCTCCAGTGCCCCGCCCCCAGGGCCACGGTACGAAGGACGATCACGGCGCCCCGATGAGCTTGTCTTCCTGGTGGTGCCCAGCGCTCCCAACCTCCTCATTCGGCCGCAGCCGGGGATGGACAGACCTCCCTTTAGTAAAACGTGGTTTAGTGAAAACGACCCGAGGCCCAAACCTGGCGGGCGCAAGCCTGGAAGATAACGGCCGCGGCGCCCTCTCGAGAACCGAGAACGGACAATTCACTAATCGACGTGTCACTGTTGGGGGCTCTGTCCACCCCATCGGCCGCAGGCGGGGCCCTCCCGAACTCTGCGAGAGCATGCCTCCCAGAAGCCGAGCCTCGGCCCGCGGTCCGGGCGTGCCCCGCGGCGGCGCGGGCAAAAAAGGGCCCAGCACCGCGCCGTGCCGCACAACATCCTCTCGCCGTCGCTCGGACGTCACTTCCCGTGCATGTTTCGGTGTCGCGCGTGTTTTTGTTGGCTCGATGGTCCAGGATCGTCCTCCATGGCTCTCGCCGAGAAAAGTTGCGCACGTCCGAACGATGCCAGGGAGTCTTGGCGGGACGGCATAGCTGGCCGCATGTCCGCCCCAGCCTCTTGGGTGGGAGATAGGCTCGGACTCACCGATGGCTCACGATACGCGTGCACCGAGGCGTGTCATACTTGAAAAGCGCACATGATAGGTCAAGCCGTAGAGATGGGGGGGGCAGGAGGAGAAGGAGGCGAAGGAGGAGGAGGAGGAGGAGGAGGAGGAGGACTGCGAGAGGAAGGAAGGAGGAGCGGGAGGAGAGGGAGGAGGAGGAGGAGGAGGAGGAGGGGGAGGAGAAGGATTTTAACGCTCAACTGCTGCTTGACCCCCTCGCAAGAGGGAGAGGTGGACGAGAACAATGAGCTAGAGGCGGAAGAGAAGGAGGAGGAGGAGGAGAAGGAGGAGAAGGAGGAGGGGGGGGAGGAGAAGGAGGAGGAGGAGGAGGAGGAAGAGAAGGAGGAGGAGGACGAGGAGGAGGAGGAGGAGGAGGTGAAGGAGGAGAGGAGGGAGGTACCGATCGCCTCCCGACGAGGCCGACGTCGGAGTCTTCGTCGTGGTCTTTGTCGGCCGCCTCGGCTGGCGGGGCCCCAATCGGCGGCGGCAGGGTCACGTCGAGCTTGCTTCTCCTATTCATGCAACTCCTCCTCATCCTCCTCCTCCTCCGCCTCCTCCTCCTCATCCTCAGCCTCCCCTGCCTCTTCCTTATCATCACCATCACCATACATACCCACATCGCCCACATTACTGTCTTCTTTCTCGCCTTCTTCTCCCTCGCCTCCTACGCTCGGAGTGGAGAAGTAGAAGAGTTGTGCACCCCCGCTAGGGCGGCCTTTTGAAGAAACGCCACTATCGCGGGCAGGAGTAGCCCAGGGATAGCCTTCCCCTTCTCCACCACCTCCTCATCCTCATCAGCATCATCATCGTCGACGTCGCCGTCGTGGTCGTCGTCGTCGTCGCCGTCGCCGTCGTCGTCGTCGTCGTCGTCGTCGTCACCACCATCACCATCACCGTCATCATCACCATCACGATCTCCATCAACATCACCATCACCATCACCATCAGCATCTACACCACCATCATACCCTTCTTCCTCGCCTCCTTCTCGTCCGCACGCTCTGCCCTCTCGTCTGTCCCCTGGTGAGCGAGCGCGGCGGCAGTGGCACTCGCGGCGACGAGGGCGCGGCGCCAGCACGGGGGGGGGAGCAGGGAAGGAGGCGGTGCTCGGGGGGGGGGGACAGGGCGATGCCAGCGAGGGGCGCGCGGAGAAGGGGCACCGAGAGAGCTCAAGACGCGGGGAGGACAGGCAGGCAGGGATCAGGGAGAGAGAAGGGGCAGGGACGGAGGAAGCGACGTACAGGCAGGGGGAAGGACAACGAAGAACAATGGCGCCTGGAGCTGTGCCACAACAAACAGCACATTCAACGTGTTCCGCATTCAACCGCATGCAACATGCACGCACAATGAGACAGCTTGTTAGGCGGATGAGCCGTCACATGGCTACATGACGTCACAATTCGCGGGTCACCAGGACGGGTTACTCTAGGCTATACCCTCTTGTTTGGCTTGGCCCAAGATTCGCACGTCGACCACCTGCTGCTGAAACGTCCTGACGGGTGACAGCTTCTTGGTGACCTCGTGGTTCTCGTCAATGGAGCTCCCTGCGTACTTGGGGATGCCAGGAACATCAGTAGCACGTCGAGGGATCTGAGACGCCAACCCCCCTGCAGGGCGGACATTGTGCTTAATTTGATAATCACTTGCTGGGACTGTGCTCTTAGACAGCAAAATGTTCTTCGATCCAGCCACATTCTTGACCAATGATTTCAGTGATCGCGCATTCGCGCTAAGAAGCCGACGAAGTATGCAGCGAGTAGCAGCAACAAGGTCAAGAGCTCGGTCTGGCAGTTCATCATGATCTCACCCCATACAGGGGCAAGCATCTCGCACAGGCCGGAGGCAATCACGAGTAGGAGTGCACACACGACCCTCATGTTGGGACCCCTGGGAGTGGGACAGGGAAACAGTCAAGCGTGTCCAGAGAGATGAGTGAATACAGCTTCTCTGGTGTTCTATGTGTCTTGGTTGGGTGATCCGAGGTGGCTGTGGAGGTGGGGGGATCTGACAAGGAGAGCCCCAGCGTCCGCTCGATCGCATCGCCGAGGAGAGCACTTGTATCGCGGAAGCCAAGACCTGCCCAGCTACGGAACTGAAAACGGCGGCGGCCGCACCGACCGCGGCCCGATCGCGCAGCGGGGTCAAAGGAGACGACGGCGGGACTCGGCCGAACCGGCAGGGCGACCGGCGACCCGGAACAAAGAAGTAGCTTTAAGAAGTAAAAAATACCCCCCAAAAACCCAAGAAGGTCAGAACATACTCAAAACATGGTCCCCAGACTATTTTTGGACAATTGTTTGACTATTGTTGGGGTATTTGTTATCTTTCGTCGAAACTCCCCCTGTAGGGGGACAGGCCCGACCTAAAAGTAGCTCTCCTTCTCTATCTTGGGAAAATGGAAAGAAAAAGGAATACAGCACCAGGGAGAGAGGTGGATCAGGGCGACCAACGACGAAGAAGAGTGTGGCCGAGCTTTTGGAGGAAGAAGCCGCTCGAGTCGAAGGTCGTGTGTCGCCCGACCAGCAGCCTGCCTGCAGTCAGTGGCTCAGCGAAGGGCCTCAGGGGGCTCGCACCGAGAGCAATCGACGAGCCGCCCGCAATCGACCACCAGCCAGGCAAGACGGGGGCCAGACACGACGCGACGCGGGAGGGATCGAGGACGCGAGGAATCATTCTCTTACAGGCGGACCATCGCGCGGACTACCATGGGAGAGCGATCTGAGACCACTGCCAGAAACAGCCCCTGGGGTTCCCAACGGCAGAGCGCCCGCTGAAAACTTCCACACGAAAGCTACGGGGGCGACGCAGTGAATGTCTGATCGACCGCCGACTTCGAGGACGGCCCCTGGGCGCCAACGCGGGAGTGAGCTCTGCAAGCCCCAGCAAAACACGTTTCCGAAACGAGTCCCCTGGAAATGACTGCCGCCGCGAACGAGCATCAGCACCAGAATCACACCGCAGCGCTATGCCGAATCGTAGAGGGCTCCCTCGGGCAACTTCGATCCGTCGAATACGACGCTTGCTAATTACACAAGGGCTCCTAAGTTCGCGCTTCGCGCTGCGCGAAGCGCGAATAACTTCGCGCTCTCGCGCCGCCCTCCCAAAGGGAGAATAGGAGGACGAGGAGGAGGAGGAGAAGGAACGAGGACCGCGAAGCGCGAATAACTTCGCGCCCTCGAGGGAGCCCTTGATTATTACACGAATGGGGGATGGGGCAAGCTCGACAAGGTGCGCGTTCCAACGGGGCAACGTAATCGAGGCGCCACGCAGCTGAGGATGCAAAACTCGCCCTGGGACGAGGCTTGCCTCGACAAGTTCAGAGGCCTACGCACCAGAGAGTCGCGGGACCAGAGCAGCGACACCACCACAGGTGTACCTGAAAAGGTACTACGCAAAAATTGCCATGCCCGATGCGAGCATGTAAGCACAACTCCCTCAGAGCAGTTCGACCGCCATTAGCCGCCTGCAGCGCGACAACCAAGTTGGACATAAACATCTCGCTGAGCAACTTCAGGCGACGACCCATAGCAGCGCCATCGTGATGGGAGAGGGCTCTGAAATTCGGCCCATGTACTCCTGTGAGCCCAAGGAACGTGTTACCCAGACCACTGGATCACGCGCTTCTCGAACGCGGAAGAGGCGATGTCCATCCACCAACTTCGGGAAGTCAACACCGACGTCCGCGACGCAGTTCTTGTCCCAGGAAACCGTCGGAGGCGAAGACGGCGAGACGTGGATGCGTGCCTGCAGCACCCACTGGTACGTCACGACGCCAACGTCGCGGTCGACGCACAGCTTATAGGGAAGCACGGAGAAGGACTCGAGGGCGACACGCACAGCAGGTAAGCCCGTTCGCGTGCCACGTCGCACCGGCTCGTGTCGAAGCCCACATACAAAGAAATGTAGCCCCCCAAGAAGCCCCAAGAGGCCTCAAAGAGACCCCCAGGAAGCCCCAAGAGGCCCCCACGAGGCTCCCAAGCGGCTCCCAAGAGCTTCCCAAGAGGCCCCCAAACTACCCCCAGGAGGCCTCCGAGAGCTTCGTCGTGGTGGCCGTGGTTGTCGCCGCCATGGAGGGTCGGCGGCACCGGCCGCAAGGCCTTCGCAATATTGCGACCACCAGGGCCCTGAGTGCTGAAGGAGAGCCACAGCCCAGGAGACAATTTGAGGCGGGCCTGGAAATGGCGGGGGCCGAACCAGCACCGTCGCCTCCATGGGCCCGTGCATTCGCAACACGAACAGCTTGGCCATTCGAGCGACCTCCATGCGGCACTCCTGGCCCAACGAGTAGCCCGCATCAGCGATCCAATGCTGAATGCCCTTGCTGCACCTGCGACATAGCAACTTCCTCTTTGGCCATGATCGTGGAGACCAAGAAGTCCTTCGGGCGGTCCGAATCGTTCGTGAGCTGGGGGTCCTCACGCGTTCGAGACGCAGCCAGATCCAACTGTTCTAGATGTCGGGATAAGTCAGCTTGAAGCAGTGCCACCCTTTCCACTTGGTTGCATATGTCTGACCGGGCCGATTGAGCAGGTGGTCGAACTTCTTGGTCACATTCGCATCGAACTTCTCAAAGAGCGGGCCAGACGCAGCCTGCAGCGCGGCCAGCAGCGCAACCTGCATCGCACCGATGCACACAAGAGACATCTCAATCATGCATGTATCCTGGAACGTTTTGAATGGTGCGTCATGCACGTCCTCCAACTGGTTACTGACGGGCCCATGTTACCAACATCACACGAAGAAGAAGAAGAAGAAGAAGAGACGCAGACCCATCTACACCGCCAGTAGGGCCACAACGAGAATCGGAAGGGGCCCATGCGACAGGAATGTCTGGAGCGGGAGTGCCTGTTGGGGGTACCAATCCCATAGCAAGTCGCGCCTGCAGTCGGAGTCGACGGAAAGGTCCCAGCCTGCATCTGCCTCCTTGACGGCGAGGGCGAAAAAAAGTTGGGGCGGCAAGGGAAGCCTCCTCGAATGCGGGGCCTACGGCGTCAGCAACATTACATCGGGGACCTCGCCTGCCACGCCGCCGATATTCGCTGGGGGAGCACGAGCCGCGATCACTCCTCGACTTCTGACATGGTGTTCCCGTCTCACCGCCGCCATGTTGCCTTCCGCTACGCCCACGGCGAGGGGCGACTGGAGGCATGGGAGCTGGGGCAGAGATCTCGGACATGTGACCAGCACTACTATCGCGACGACGAGGACGCCGAGGGGTTGACGTCTCGGTGTCCCTGCGCTCAAGCTTCTTGGACGTATTGTTTTTTGTTTCGTTACTTCCACCCGCCATGCTGGGAGGGAGAGCGCTGCCTCAGGCAGGAACTGGAAACGCCTTAGTTGACCCACGTGGGACGACGCAGGTGTCGTGGTTGCCAAACACTCACCGTGGTCTAGCCTCGGATCAGAAGTCTCCGCTCTCTGCCCGAGGTACAAAGTCGTCTTGAGCCAAAATGGTCACGTAGGAGAAAGGATGAGGGGGATGACGAGGCTGCGGACAAGGATGGAATGTTGACGACCCGCGCCAGTTCAGATATGGCACTCAACAGGAACGGGTCTTGAACTCAACATCCTCCCTGCTGCGCTGCTGCGCTGCTGCGCTAGCACGATAACAAGGTTTGTCGCATGCAGTTTGACAATTTCGTGATAACTTTATGGTTCTTTTCGGTGCACGTCCCTGCATCCTTGGGATTGCCAGGGACGCCCATGGCACCACGAGGGATCTACGACCGTAGGTGCCGACACCAAGGGCACCCACACCGATCTCAGCCGGACCACACTACGGACCAAGCTGATGACGCGACGCGGCCGAGCCAACGCCGTGAACAGGGGCCCAGGACGCGTTGACCACTCGCTTGCTCTCGTGTCTCTGTCTCTCTCTCTCTCTGGTTCTCTCTCTGTCGTTGTACACATCTACGTGCATACGTATACAAACGTATGAAGATGTTCGTTTTGTTGATCGCTCTTTCTCTCTCTCTCTCAAGATTTGGACAGATACACAGATGCATTTACGCCTGTATATATGTACACAAACAGATGTATATCTCCCTCGCT